GAATTCGCGTCCACCAACTTTGCCCGTTGCAGGATATAATATTATAATTTCAGCAGTAGGTACTACTTATACATAGGTATAATGATTCGGAAGTATAAAATAAGGTGTATTGTGCACGAGGTTAGAGACTTTTAGAAGTTAGTGGTACGTTTTTCTAAATTGTCCGAAACATAGCCAAGTGCCCGAGTGATATGAAATTTTTTCCATTATATAGTACTAGAAGTTTATAGTAATTTTTCCTTTCGAAGTTTGCGCATTAATCACACGCGTCAACGTGTATTTTATTGTATATTTTCATTTTAAGCACACACATTCCCGATTTTGAAATTGGAATTTCATTTTTCTCTTTGAATTGCCAAAAGATAAAAAATATAATATTCTTGTATAATAATTTATAATATGTACATTTGAAAAATAACGTTATTGAATGAATGAAGTGTGGGCTGCGTATTTTCACGTTTTTTCGTGTTGGATTATTTCACACCGATAATATTGCATCTACACACCTCGCGTAATACTCGCGACTACATCAATTTTATGGACCCATCAACGTGATAGCTGATGTACTTCAATCAGTCTGCGTCGGTCGTTTATTCGCATAATTATATATGATAGGTACATGATATTCTTATATGCGATGTGTTTCGTCGGTCTCGCGATTGTCTCGTCGTCACGTGTTTACTATTGATTGACCTAGTCCCCGATCCTAGTTATTATTATTATTATTATTTATTGTTTTCTAATACATAAAAGTACACGTTCGTACGTCGTATGTCAACTCAAATGTTTCGGTCGGCAAATTTTTATCGCTGCACGATTAAGGATCGATGCATATTTCAGGGCACAGACGCGTGCAAAATATTTTAAGGATAAAAGGACACGCGAAGTGCTCAGCCTTAATTATACACAGATATTGTGAGAGGACAACGGCGATTGGTTGCTGCAGGGTATCGACACATAAATATATATTATTATACAATATACGCGCATATTCTAGAATAGAAAATAACATTGCACAAGCCAACCGCACTTCTTCTGGCTGTACATTTATATATATATATATGACAAAATAATATATTAATATAATGCCTGGTACATACCATTCCATTATACGTGTCGTGCCCCCCATCCCCCCTCCCACCACGTCCGCCGGCGGTTGATTAATCGGCGCGTTTCAAAAGTATAGCGTGTTCGGCGTTTCGTTTAATTTCGCTTTTATAATGCCGAATAAATGGAAACGCATTTTTCCCCAAGCCTTTTCCCGTTCTGATTAATGGCCGCGCACAAAGACCCGCGCGCGGACCGTCTTGAAAAACGGTCGTTTACAACAACGCAGCCGCCGCTCGGCGGATCGAAAAAGAGGTGCAGCGCAGTGGTTATCGGCAATACGTGATGATATTATTATATTATACAATAATAATTAAACGGGTACAGTGTCGTATATAGTGGGCACGGGAACAAAAGCGCGTGGTCCGGGATCGTCGCTCGGGGCTGACAGTCGGAAGCGAGTGGGTTGAGGTGTTACCGACGGTACAACTGATTTGACTCTAATATATTATTATCCGTATATTTATAAAAGGCAATATGTGTGTGTGTGTGTGTGTGTGCGATCCAATAATCAAGTCCTCTGTAATTCGGCACTCGAGTAATCGTATACCCGAAGATGCGCACCACGAAGCCAATAGTTTAGACTGCACAGAGATTAGTTGAATGTTTTTGTATTGTTATTTGTATAGGGTTTCCAGACGGACAATTAAGTCGTTCCCACGAGACGCCGGATACGGTTTTAGATTTGTATTTTATATTTGTACAAGAAACCACCCGTTGCTACAGTGTAAGGATACTTGCAGCTTTGATATTTTGAGGGAGTTGTAAAAACGTGGGAAAATCCGCTGGCATAATTTAATTTGTCCCGGGAACTCGGTGTAGGATCAGCAGCTACGTAGTAGACCTGCTGCTAGGACAACGGGAGTACTGGAGTAGGCCCGTAGGGGAGATCGTCTTTGCGGAATTATCGCATAACTATTGCAATAAGACGTGAAGTCAGAGGTCCTCGGGATTTCTGAGATGGCGGGAAGGAGGATCCAGGACGACGATCCTTCACGATTTACAGTAATATTCGTGACTCGTCTATATTATTAGGGTGTTTTAATCACGGTATCACACGCGCTCTACACGTCGTATGCCCAAGTTCATCTTATCAGTTTAGGCGTTTAAAACTTCTGTCCAGAGTTCCGTACACTGGTATGAGTAAAATAAATCATAATTATTATTGACCACCTATAATATTATTAGTTTCGTGATTATTGTTGTGTTCTTGTATTTATTGATATTGGTTTTTGTATCGATTAGCCATTATTTGCCGGTAAAAATTAAAATAAACAAAGAATTATGCTTGCAGCAGCATCTCTTCACTATTACTAATTTACTAACAATAACTGCAATTTTTAAACCGCATAGTGTCAAAGGAGTCGATATGAACTGGACGACTTATAATTACGGGTAATGGGCATCAGTGTGGGCTTAGATACACATATTATGTTAAAATTTTAAATGTGATTTCAAAATGTTTTGCAAACTGACAAATTTAAACTGAATTGTAGTATCTGATGTGGATGTTAATAATAACGACACGGCATAGATTATAATATCATTAGATTTTTCCGATTCGTCGAGCGTTCAGTAGTAGTAATAATAATAATAATATGTATCAAAATTTTATTTCGACAGACTTTAATAAATTGAGTTATAAATAAAATAAATACCAATTCTTACAACACCTCTGTACACTACATATGCGTAAATGGTATATCAGTTAGTATACCTACAGGCTACAATCGTTAAACTGTGTCGTAATTATTGAACGGATTTAATTATTTACGTTTCTTTCGACAAACAAGAATAAAAATTTAATCACAATTTTAATTTTAATTACTGACGAGCATTGTAAATTATGTGATGAATAGATTATGATTTTAATATTCAATGAATGTGACAACTATAAACACTGCGAAAATAAACCAACTTTTGAGGCTCCGAAACGTGGGCTTGAATGAATTAATTGCCATTGAAAGCATATATAAAATATATTACACCGTTTATCCACTGGTATTTAATACGAAAAGAGACCTCTAAACATTTTATTTCATTGCATAATATTAATAGCTACGTATTGATATAGGTAGTACGTCTTGTCTAAAAAAATTATGAATATTTAACACGAAAAAAATCCAATTTTCGAGTTAATCAATTTTTCACTACCTACGGGGCAAAATCGTATTAATCTTTGGCCACAACTTAATAATCTTAATTGGTTTTAAAATAGCGGACATATTACTTGGTTACCATAAACTTGGTTGAACTTTGATTATTTGATCAAATTATTCCTGTACATTGTTTATACAATATTGGTTTGTAACTTTGAATCGGAATGAAAATTAATTTAGTTTCGTCAAAAGCGTACAACTGTGGGGTGCGGCTAAATTATCAAATTTAAACATGATACAAAGATTTCAATCGATCACCTTACGCATGATAACTAGGGCCCCCTTTTACGTATCCAACCACACACTCCACACAGACCTAAACATTAAAACTGTCTCAGAAATGGCATCAACTATACACAAACGTTATAGGTTACGACTAGAAAACCACCCCAACCCGCTAATCTCAGCACTAAACTCACAAACAATACCCGGGAATCCCCAAAGAAGGCTTAAGAGAAGATGGTGCCGTGACCTAAACTTTTAATCTCAAAACTTAAAAAAAAAAAAAAAAAATACATATGTATATATATAATATACATATATATCTAACATAAATAAATCAATGAAAAGTGTAGCCGCTGGGTTACTTCTTTTATCAAGCAAATCATGTCTTCTTACTTATTTTAGCTCATATTCTTATTGTAAAACTAATTTACAGATTGTATATATTCAATAAAAAAAAAAAAAAAAAAAAAAAAAAGTTTCGTCAAAAATAATAAAAAATAGTAAAAATATAAATATTTCCAAAATATCAATACATTCGTTCTGAGCCTAAAATGATTATTTGTAACTGCTTAAAAATATGTAAAAGAAATATTTTAAAAAACGTTAGTGTTTTCTGAACCATTGAGAGTCTTGCGTTAAACGGATTACTCCGTATAATGCCAGAAATTAAACATATAATATTATATTGTAAACAGTGCTTGGGGAAACCCACAGGACACAGCAGCATAGGTGGACATTTTGGTGAATTTGTTGGTCAGCAGTCATGTAAATCTCGAAAATTCTTGTTTTTCTCTTCACAATATTTTCAAACGCACCTCACCGAGTGAATTATAAAAGTGTGAAAAACACATCGTGTTAATTAATTGGTCGTTGTCTTATATATATATATATATATATTATGTAGGTACCTATTCATTACACAATAATGTGTTATTGTCTTAATATATGTAATGACTTGCACAACGGAACGAACGATCGAAATGATAATATATTTTCACTCGCCACAATACTATTATTCTAAAGCTACGCACTTCTGACTATAATAATCGTTATGCTGTTGTGAGATTCTTTAAAAAAAAAACGCGATCGACGCGATACATGTGCACAATACTCGGAAACCCCCGTGGTGCCTCGGGGGCTGGCATATTTTTTTTTTCAATCAAACTGCGAGTATTATAATAATAATAAAAACGTGTAACACCCTCCGGCGGGGGTGGCGGCGGCGGCGGTAAGTCGGCCAAAGAAAATAAACACCGCACTAGAGCTAAATGAAAAGAAAAATTGAATATTTTTTCCGGTCTCGACCCGGCAAAAGAAATGTTCGACGGTATTATTATTTTGTCGAGATATTATTATTATTATATTATATAGCGCCACCGACTTTTTTTGCGGACGATTACTTTAATGCATATTCCGTGTAGTGAGCGCGAACGTCCCATCTCACCTAGACGGTTTATATTAGACATTTTCGTGTACCGTGTATATATAAATGTATATTTTTTTTCGCAGAGTTTCCGGTTTTGTGCGGACCGAGAGTGAAGTCGGATATGGCAAAAACAAGGATGCGATTCCCACTAGACCGCCAGTGAAAATATACAAGCCGTAGCGAGTAAATTATTGTTTATAATAACGATACTATATTAATACAAACTAATTTATAAATATTATTACTCGTTGATGTCGCGTATATATAACTTATTATTAAAATAGTTCGTTTGTTTGTATACATTAAAATATATGCATTAAAAATGTTTATATTTATATTCAATTGCTGAGTAAATTACTTGAAAAAAAAAAAACTATTATATTATAAAGTCACACGAAATCTGTACACCCAACACTTAAACTACACTGAGTAATGTATTTTCGTATTAAAATTATAACAATTTTTTTTACATAATTGTATTTTTTATTTACACCATAAATTGTTGTTATTCGTTTTTTCACCTACGATATTATACTAACCTACTAAATAACTTATTGGCAATTTTAAACTGCTCTTTAGTGTCAATTTCTCGTTTTAGATTCAACTGAGGAATATATGCCTATTAATACACGGTCAATGTATCGTAACGCATTCTTTATTCATACAGGCCACTGCAGGTGATTATAAATTATTAATTGGTTTTAAAATATTTAATACAAAATTGTGCGTTCTTTATTTTAGATTTTTATTTTTTTATTTTAATCATTATTTGTTATTGTTAACAAATATTTGCAAATACGCATACTGAACCATTTAGTGGTACCTAATTTTGGATTCACCATTTATATACATAATTTAAACATACAAATATGGAGATTATGCTTAAAAATCAACTTGAATAAATATTATTAATGTCCCTCCAGGCTTCAAACGTCAACATACCACTTTTAATTTGCCCACCTCATCCAATAATATTATGACTTAAATATGAATCACTTCTGCCCAGTATGTTTGTTGCCAGGTCGTCAATTTTGACCCTTAATTTTCTATCTCATAAACCTAACTTAGTTGTTTTTAATGATTATGTTCACCTACATATTATCACACTTTGTAATTTTAATTGTACTAAATGTTAATTGTAAATTGGACACATGCCATACTGTACGTATATTATGCTTGAATAACAATAATAATAATATTATACTGTGCTTGTTTGAGTATTAAAAAAATATTTCTTCACAAAAAGTGATTAACAAAAGAGTGGTTTATTAAAACAACAACAAAAAAAAAATAATAAAAAAAATGTTGTGGCACAATTTTGCAATGGGTTACGATTTCGATTACGATAATAAAATAGAAAATATTTTTAATTTAACAACAGTCCAAGTCTAGTTTATAAATCACGAGTTTCGGTGGAATTACACACGGAAACGCAGAACGGTGTAATAGGTGTTGTATAGTAGGTTTATAGTAGGTTTTTCTTATTAATAATAAAATAAATGAATAAATTATAAAACCGTGGTCTATAATATTGTATTACTATAACACGACGACGATACGTATTATAAATTACCATCGATATAATACGACATTAAATTAAAAATCCCAGTTTCTCACTGTCTAACTGATCGATTTGACTTTACAGTGGACCGGTCAACGTTCCTGCACCACAACTTTTGACGATAATTTAAAGTGCGTAAACATACACAATGCGTAACGCTTCTCGCTGAAGGACACGACCGCCCCTAAATGAAAACGTTGAAAATTGCCTTCGATATTTATGGTCCTCCGACACTATGCCAATGTTGACCGTTACACAATTGCTCTCCGATCTGATGAAATGCCAAATAACATTTACCAACAACAGGATATTCTCTTCCGTTTACGTCTGGACGGCGCCAAATAAGTTTATTTGGTGCCTCCACGTCCCCCGTTCCTTTCCAACCCTCATCACAAACATAGACGATTATATTATAATAATGCACTAGGGGTACTAGATAGGCTCTGATCTCTGGGCTCTTCGCTCACCAACCCGTTGACCCACTCCGAGTGCGCTTTGCCCCCCTCCCCCCCATACCCCAAGGGTCTCAGCCCACTCTCCTTTGCATGTTAAATTTAAAAATACAATAATATGTGGAACTCCAGTGCTAGATAAGATGTACACAACTTTTTTTAAACAGAGGGGCGTATGTGATTTGTGCCAAAAACAACCAAAACAAAATATATCCATGTAGTTTGCGGCACATTTAAAAATTAATTTCGGTAATTTGTAACAATTTTCAAGATTGTAGTTAAAATTAAATATAAGGGCATTACGTAATCTGTGGCATCTATTGTGCCTACAGCAATTGTAATTCGCGGCACTTTAAAATAACTAAGCATTTTTTTTAATCACAATACTAATGTTCGCAAACGTATATCATAATTTAGGTTCTGGAAACGGCAAGACGGGAGGAGGGGTTTCCTCCCCAATATTAATGATTAAATACACCTCGTTCGTCTTGTTTAGCTTATCAGATCCCGTCCTGGCGTATACAATATAATATAAACAACTGCAGTAAACCAGCACTAGTGTGTCTACGTTTACCCGATTTTAACGAATACGTTCATAAGTTTTTAATCCTCGACAAGTAGTTGGAAAACAAAAGAACCGGAATACAATGAATTATTATACGAGCGTGTACGAATGCGAACTTCGTAGGTATAAGAACTTAAAAACTACCGACAATAAGTGCACTCACCGTCGTCATATTGTACAGGAGTGGGTAGCGAAACGAAACAATTTCTCGGCCGACACTGAAACAATCACAATAGTCGCAACATATTATTCCGGTATCACGCGGCGGCGCGGGGTTATATTTAATTCAAGTTTATTCGTCACAAATGTCGTTTTGTCTGGCATATGATACATACGTCACGATATTATAATGACGGCGTGGCTGCTGCTGTTGCGACGATTCGTGCTCTATAGTCAGCTGTTTAAAAATCGAATAACAATGCAGACAATAATAATAATAATAATAATAATAATAATAATAATAATTGGTAACAATAATAGACGCAGGTATGCTGTTTGACAGCGTTCGCGACAGTATATAGTTGAGAGTTTTCGTTGGAACCAAAGTTTTAGAATACGTTTTGTGCGAAATAATACGAGTGTGACGAATTCGGTTGATGAAAATCACGAACGAGTGGTTATTATATTAGCTCCACGTCGTTAATGTTAACGTCACAAATCAGTACGCAGATATAATAATATAGTTTTACTATCTATACACGTTCACTCTGTAAATAATATCACGAAATTATACGCGAGCATAGGCATTATTCATTGACCTTATATATACAGGTATGTGAGGTATGAGGCACTGGTATGAGGTCCATCGCGGTACCATTACCGTTTACTAAAATATGCGATATGGTTGTTACCGTTTACCGTATGCGTTTGTTCCAGTGAGGTGTGATACCACGTGATAACTGATAACAATATAATAACGTATAATAATATTGCATGCTGCAATAGGTATATTTGTTCCTAAATAAACATGTCATATTTTAGTATTTTACACCGAAATGTATTTATTTTGATAGTCATCATATCTGAGCATAACGTTACTAGTTTCATTCGGCTCGGCGACCACACAGAGTTTTCGCCCCGGTAGGACTATTCCCACTGACCCGACTGGTCAGCCTCAATTAGTTCGACGGTACCGTATCGGTTGTAGAAAAACTACAAGTAAATAATAATTTAGTCATTTCCTCAGGTTCGTGATTTTTACGGATTGTGTTAAAATTTAAACTTCAAAAGTTCGAAAGCTTTTAACAAAAAATTATTGTATTTATTTATATTTGAGAGTTAGGAATTGGATTTAGGAACAACCTACAAGAAACATAGAATATTATATATTTTCAAGCTTTTTGACCAAACATAAAATTGCTATCAACATAAATGGAAAAAAACTAATGTAATTAGAAAATTTCAAATGCAAATATATTTTATAACCATCAAAAACAGTAAATATATTTTGCAAATAGTCTTGATATCATTACTGGAAAATGTTAATGTAAAATAAATTTAGTGAAAATTAAATTACGAGGGACCATCTGTTACATTTCCAAGCTTTTGAACAACAATACCGTTAAGCTGTGCAATGACAATAATATGATGTAAATTGCAAGAGTCACCACTCACCTGTAATAGGTAGGTACATTGTGCACAATAATATTAGCAATTCACGTCATGAATTTTAACATTATTAATTCTGACCGAAATTTCAATTTCGTGTAACTGCATAACTAACACTGACTAGCAGACTATAGAGTTGCAATTTATATCCTGCACTCCAACTCGAGACGATGAATAATAGCAATATAAATATTTTGTTTGAGTTAATATTTTAGTCTCAGAATTATTCGGAGCCAATTATGTTTGCAACACTCCAACACATACGTGGTGTACAACTGACATATCCGTCATCGCACAACGATATTAATAATACAGGTTTCGTGATAAATTAATTATTGCGCCGTTGGCTGAGAGATGAAATCATTATGTTCTTAACATTGTCGGACTTTGTACGTTTTCTCACAGATAGGGAAGTAACTTTGGACGTTTTGTCCAAAACTGTTATAAACGACTTTGTGAAGTATAACTGTAAAGCATTTGGGTTAATGTATTTAAATACTTAAATAGTATTTGGAATATATTTTTTAAAAATATTTTCTATAATCAAATACTTTTCAAATTTGATATATATATTTTTTTATATATAGATTCCCGCATTGTATTATTTTATTTATAATTAATATTTAAATAATTAATGATTTTATATTTCACTAACAACTGTTTATTGTTTAATTAATATTAAGTATTTCAGAATTAAAATGTAACAAATTCTAACTTGTTTTAATTCCTTAGCATATTATTAAGATTACTAAAGTAAATTGTACAAAATTCTAAATCCTCGTGATACTTAAATGTGACATTAAAATTATTTAAAATTAGTAATCACTAATTAAAAAATCAATTCTCTTACCTGTATACTTGTAAAAATGAAAAATTTATTTGAACAGTATTTACACTTACACACAATTTGTCAAGTACTTGAAATTTTTCTTAAAGTTATTTGAAATACTTTTTGAAAGTGTGCATTCGTTTCGGTACCTATTTAAATACAATTTTAAAAGTATTTTTTTATCAGGGTACACATTACATACCTACAGAGAATAAAATACTATCAGGAGTGTTTGATTATACAATTATCATGTTGTGCAGCGCATCA